CTGTAAAATGGGATAATAATAGCACCTACCTTTGTTGTGAGGATCAATTGAGATAATAATTATGAAAGTGCTTAACATAATACCGGCACATAGTAGGCACTATGTTAGCTAGAGAGTTAGATAAAGAGCTGGAGTCAAGGAGATATGAGTTGAAATACTGCTTCAGACAAGCTGTGTGACTTTGGGCAAGTCACTTAACCTCTATCTGCTTCACTTTCCTCTTTCTAAAATGGGGATAATAATAGTGCCTACTTCACAGGGTTATAGTGAGGATCATATGAGTTAATATTTGTAAAGTGCTTGGCACAGTGCCTGGCACATAGTAGGTGCCTAATAAATGCTTGTTTCTTCCCCTCCTATATAAATGTTAGTAATTATTGCTTTACAAGGTATCTTAAAAGTCTTAGCACAGTTCTAAGCTTCAATAACTTAGTATAGATGTTCAAATAGCTTGAGATTTAATAACTTTAATAGCTTTAATAACTTACTATAGATGTTTAAATGGTTTAAGATTTAAGTGTTTAAGCTATTTTTAAATAGATTAAGCTTTGATAGTTTAAAGTTGCACTGAGACATTTTATTGGTACTTGCTGATAATTTGTGGTAAGGTATAGAATCATTAGGCCTTCCGCGAAATAGGGAGGCAGAACCTTGAGACAGACATGCCTAGGCCCCTGACCAGTTCCCCAGCCTGCTTGCTGTCTTTCACATTCCAGTGAAGGACACTCAGGTACTCCCTTCATGTGACTATTATCAACCATTTCTTCCCCTGAATTCCCCTCACTCAGTTATCTGAGGAGAAAGAGGGCTCAGGCTTCCAACATCTCATACTATAGATTTAGCTCTAGTGTTAGAGTTGGTTGTTGTTGTCATTGTTGTTGTGTTGTCCTCCGTTCTTGAAGAGAACCATGACATCAGGGAGATGATGACATGACTTTCAGTTGACTTTGATTTGAGTGAGGGAGGGCTATGCAAGGTCACCAGCCTCACTTTCTCCACTGGGTCCGGGGGCCAGATATTCAGCTTTGGAGATGGCCCAGTTATTAGAGTTTAGAGATGAACCTTAGTAGTTATCTCAACCAACCCGCTCATTTTACAGGTAAGGAAATTAAGGCCCAGCAAGGTCAAATACATTGTTCAAGGCCACATAAATAGTAAGTCAGGATTTGAATGAAGGTTTCCTTGACTCCAAATCCAGAACTTTTTCTACCGTTCCACCCATCCCTGATATGTCATGCTGTCTCAAGAATAAACACACAATTTTCTTTGAGGTTTTCTTGGAAAAGACAAAGGAAAGTTTTACAAATTGTAAAACTTAGGCTGGGTGATATAGTGGGACAGAGTGTTAGATTTATAGATAAGAAGACCCAAATTCAAATCCTGTCTCAGACACTCTGTGCAAGGTACTTAAAAAAACCAAAAAACATTGTGCCTCAGTTTCCATATATGTAAAATGAAGGAGTTGGACTTGATGGGCTCTAAGTTTTCTTCCAGCTCTAAATCTATGATCTTTTGACTTGCCTATCTATAATCATTCAGCAAGTACATAAACATCAGAGTCAGGATTTCAACTCAGGTCTTTTTATGAAACTCGGTCTATTACACTACACCGCCTTTGCAGGGGTAAGAAGAGGAGACTAGCCATATGAGAGGTGGTGGAGGACCAACATCTGAGTGTCTTCACTGACCTTTGCTCTTATCTTCCTTTGCTTTTACAGGTTAATTTCATCCTTTTTGTGAATATTCTAAGGATTCTAATGAAAAAGCTCAAAACCCCAGAAATGAGAGGAAATGACATGAGTCATTACAAGTGAGCAGAACCTTGTTGTCAAAGACTTAATGCTAACTGATGGGCACCTGCTCTGATCTCAGTTCTGTGCTCAATGCTGTGGGGGATAAGAGGGAAATAAAGGTCATGATCCTAGCCCTCAAAAAGCTTATAGTCTTTAAAAGAAAATCTTACAGACTATTTTATCATTACTACCACCACTTATTTCACACACACACACACACACACACACACACGCACACACTCACACTCTCACACTCTCACACATATATTCAAAAAGTCCTTCTGGAGTAGGTGGGATAAATCTGGGCCTTGAAGGGGTCAGACTGGAGCTCACGTCTTGTTCTCGTGTCCTTCAATGTCCATCCACAGGCGGCTGGCCAAGTCCACCCTTCTGCTGATCCCCCTCTTTGGTATACACTATATTATCTTTGCTCTTTACCCTGAAGATACCATGGAGATAAAGCTGTTTTTTGAGTTGGCACTTGGCTCATTTCAGGTAATTTTCAGAGAATATGAATCTTAAACTGCAAGAGAAAGACCTATTTTCCCTTAGAACAGAGGTTCTTAACCGTGTGTGTGTGTGTGTGTGTGTGTGTGTGTGTGTGTGTGTGTGTGTATGTGTATGTGACCCCTTTGGCAATCTAGTGGACCTTTTCTTAAATGCACAAAGTGAAATCCATGGGATTACGAAGGAAATCAATTATATTGAAAAATAGTTATCAAAATACATTTAAAAAAAAAGTTCATAGACACCTAGCTTAAGAACCCCAGCTTTAGAAGGAAAATAATAGCACAGTGACAGGCAGGAGTCTTCATAAGAACTCCCAGGGCATGGCTTGGTTTGGTGGCTAGCTCACTGAGTAGGACACTGAGCCTTGAGCAATAAGAGCTGGGGCTGAATCTTGGATGCACTGTGTGACCGTGGGCAACTTATCTGGCTAGCTTCCTATCTGTAAAGTAAGAACAAAGAATCCCCTCCTACTTCAGGGGGGATGTTGTAAGGATCAGAAAGATAATGTATATAAAATTCTTTCTTTAGATGGCGCACAATTATTTTTCATGTACTTCTTAATATCCTATAACTGAGTCTACAGAGCAGGGAGGCTCTGGGTACTCTTCATGTCTGCTGTAACAGAACCAGTGCATGGGACAAGAAGTAGAACAATTGGGTTGGTGCTAACATATTTGGCAGAAAACCTAGAATTCTGGAGAGTCTTATTAATATCAGAATCATAATGTTGAAACCCAGCTTTTGATGTTTCCTAGTTCCTGATGAGAAGTAATCATGGTACAGTGGAAAGACTGCTAGATTTATAGTCAAAGGACATGAGTTCAAATTGTGACTTTGCTATTCACTACCTGTAAGACTTTGAGCCTCAGTTTCTTCATCGATGAAATGAGATGTAGACTAGAAAACCTTTATGATTTCTTCCAACTCTAGATCTAGGGCTCCATGATCCTAAATGTCCTTGAGAATATATTTGAGTTGGAAGGACAGATTTCTCCCTGATCAGCTTCTCTATATCACTCAAACAGAAGGAGGCCAAAAGCGCCTAGCCAGAGTCCTCGCTAGCATTCTTGGCATCCAGGGCAAATCGTATAAAATATACATTTTAATCAACTTTTAATAACAAATTCAATATTGAAGGTGAGGAAAAGATCACGGGACCTACATCCTCATAGGGATAGGGTATGGGGGAAAGAGAGACCTTAGGACAAGATGAGATCAATGTTGAGAAGCTGCTTATCAGTGGTACAACTGCCTAGGGAGCAGATTAGGAGTAGAGAGGAAGAACCACTATTTTTTTTCCTTTTAAAAAATTTTTATTTTTTTCCAATTAGATGGAAAGACAATTTTATCATTTATTTATTTATTTATTATGGTCAGGCCTAGAATTTGCTTTTTTACTTTAATAATATTTTATTTTTCCCAATTACATGTCAAAACTATTTTTAATATTCATTTTTTAAAATTCTAGGTTCCAAATTCTCTCCCTCCCTCCTCCTTCCCCCCTCCTGAGACAGTAAGCAATTTGATATGTTACACATGTACAATCATGCAAAACATTTCTATATTAGTCATGTTGTAAAAGAAGACACAAACCAAAAACAAACAAAAAAACCAACAAGAAAAATAAAGTGAAAAATATTATGCTTCAATCTGCATTCAGACTCCATCAGTTCTTTCTCTAGAGGTAGATAGCATTTTTCATCAGAAGAACCATTATTCTAAATTTACCAGTCTTTTACTAGATGCTCAACTCAGTAGTTTCTATATGCTGGAATATAAGCACTGTCAGTGTCCCCCAAATTTTAGTGGCCCGAGGGCCTACCCTAGCTTTGTTAAGATTCCATGTCTGCCTTCTCATACTCCTGTTTGCAAAGACAAATAAGAGACCTAAGTGACTGTGCTTCCACGATGCCGCATTGTAGAAGTCATGGAATTCCCTGGGAATTTTCTATCATGAAAGGAAACAATTTACATTGCCTGGTACTTTTTGATGTTCCAAAGTACTTCTGTTTCAAAGTGCTACATCTGTTGTCTCACTGGATCCTTCTAATATCCCTGGGGAGAAGTAGATAGGGCGGGTGACATTAACTTCACTGGCCACTGAGAAAGAAGAAGCCAGGAGAGAGCTGGAATGATGGGCCTGGGGTCACACAGCTGGAGCTAGTCAGTGGCAAGAGGCAGGATGAGACCCCAGGTTTCTAAACTTCCAGCTCAGGGCTCTTTCCACTACATTTCCTCGTGGATTGAGACTTCCTGTTTTCCTGAAATAGTGGTTTGTGGTCAGTCCTTCTGAACGTCCAAGTTGAGTCCACTCAGCTACTTTTCATGTGTGTGACTTGTCAAAGGCAAAACAAAAAGTACTTTCTGAAGTTTTCATAAGACTTTTTTTTTTTTACTGACAACTCACACGAAAAGAAATGAGCTTTCAAATTTGCTTATATAAAGTCAGTTTTTTCTGAGGATAATGACTATACAACTAGGAAAAAACTAAGTAAGCCGGCTGCTTTTTCACTGGTCCTGGCTTCCCACCTTCTCCTGGCCAGGATGAGCACACTATAGGAGGGATAGGGGATTGGGGTAGTAGGCAGGTCTAGCCTTCTGTGTATCTGAACTAGGATGTAACCTTCATTAAGAGTGATTTAAGGGTCACTAGCAAAACTTTTTGCCCCAGATACTTTATTCACTGTTGACCTGTTGCTGATGTTCAAATTTCTACTGAATAGTCATTTCTTTGGTCTTAGCTTCATCTGTTAAAATACAAATTCTAATGGAATTGGGTAATTTAGTAAAATGATGTTAATGCCTTAGTATGAATTAATTTACAAAATCTTTTCTTCCTCTGTGACAGATGAAAGTTGGTTTTATGGAGAGAAGGGAATAGGGGAGGGGGGACAGAATGAAGAGAGAGAGAGATACAAAACATAGGTCTGTGCTCAACAATAGAAAACATTCATTAAGTGTCTACCATTGTAGAGAACTGTACTAGATACCAGAAGATGAGAAGTTTTAAAATGTAGGATCCCTACCCTCACAGAGCTTACAGTCTAATAGGAGGATTATACCAGTACCGATAACTATAAAACACACAATTCCATGATAAGTGCATTAAACAGATGTAAAACAATATGCTATGCAAATATCATAGAAAAGATTGTTAAAGACGTGGAAGACTGGGGAAGATTTGAGTTGGATTTTAAAGTCTGAGTAGGCATTCAACAGGCAAAAGGAAAAGAGGGCATTCTAGGCACATAGAACAACATGAGCACAGGTAGGGAGATAGGAGAACACAGTGTATTTTCAGGTACAGGGAAGAGTACAGTTTGACTGGAGCATATAATGTGTGGAATGGAATAATATGAGATAAAGTTGGAAAGATAAACTGGTGCCAGATTGTGAGAGGCCTTAAATATTAGTCAAAGAGATCTGAGTTATACTCAGGAGGTAATAGTGATCTACTATTTTTTCTTTAAATGAAGTCCTTTGTTATCTGTTTAGATAAGTCAGTGTGAGGGAGCTTCCAAAAAGCCTGTTGGCAAGAGGATAAATGTGTCTAAATATTGTGCTTACATTTATTCCTTTTGTTGTACCTGTTTTTGAATGCAATATTGTAATCTTCATAAAATTTGACATTTTTCAAAGATTGTTGGTAATGTTTGGATGTTGGCAGATTTTGGTGACTCATGCTTGCTGAAACTGTTGTGAAAGACTATAACCCTAACTGGGAAGTGCTGAGCAGAGTGTTTATGTGTCCAAGAAAGGCTATAATGGTTAATGAGAAAACGGGCAGCCGAAGAGCAATAAGAGGGCACTGTGCACCTGCTGTTAAAGGGCCAGAATCACCAAATTGGAAATGGAGGTGACAAGAGAAAACTCTGCCACAGGCTGGCCCTGGGAATCCCAGCAGAGTCAATCCACAGCATGGATTTTATACTCACTGTTTGCGATGTGTTTGACTTCCGTACTCTACAGTGGCTGGTCACTGAGGGAAGATACTATAGAGGGGACTAAATGCAATAGAAGAGAATGAATAAATGTCCTTCATCTCTTACAGTCTCAGTAGATAAAAAGACCACTTACAAGGAACCAATTAATATTTAAAAAGAAGATGGAAGTGTTGACACAAATGAGGAAGGAGTGGACATTGTGAGATGTGATAAATCAGTGGAAGGTTTTGTAGAGAAAGCTGTATTTGGAGTGAGGATTTGAAGGAGAGGACAGGGCATGGATTAATAAAGAAGAGAAGTGTGGGGAGACATTTTGCATTTCAGGTATTTGAGGAAGTGGATATAAAAATTCACCGAATAGGAAGTAGCACTGAGATATATATCCTGAGTTCCAATAGTTTTGTAATATTATAATAATTTAAATTATATCTGATACATTAGCTCATTTGAGTCTTATAATATCCCTAATTTCTACATATTATTATTCCCATTTTAAAAAAGAGGAAACTGAGACTCTAAAAGGTTAAGTGACTTACCCAGGGGTCCTACAGCTAGTAGGTGTTGGAGTCAGGATTTGAACCCAGATCTTCTAAGTATGGCACTCTATGCATGACACCAACCAGGCTGTCACTTGAACTATAAGACTTTTGAGTGCTGGAAAAGACCTCAGTGGCCTAGATAGTTGGCACAGTTGGACTTGGAGTATTTTTTTGTTTTTGCTTTTTGGTGAGGCGATTGGGGTTAAATGACTTGCCCAGGGTCACACAGCTAGTAAATGTCAAGTGCTTGGTCTGAGGCCGGATTTGAACTCGGGTCCTCCTGACTCCGAGGCTGGAGCTCTATCTACTGCGCCACCTAGCTGCCCCCAGGCTGTCTCTCAAAGAAATTGGACATGCCAGGTGTTCTGGTACCTGGGGCAGCCTCGTGTCCTGTGGATGGAAATGGAAGGTTAGAGGGCATAGAAAATCATGGGATCTTAGGTGTAGAGCTGTCATGCACCAATGAGGCCATCTGGTCCAACACTTTGATTTTACAGATGAGGAAACTGAGGCTTGGGGAGGTTGAGTGACTTGCCTGAATCACGCAGGTAGTGAGCATCAGAGGTCTTATAGACTTAGACCCAGGTCCTTTGCAAAACTAGTGTTCTTTCCACTGTACCATGATGCTTCCCATGGAGAAATCTGCCTTTCCTGTCCTGAGACACACTTGACAGGGAGTTCTAGATCAGGCCAGTTAGGTTGCCTTTCTACATTCTAACACTGTGACTCTTTCCTTTGGCAGGGTTTGGTGGTGGCTGTCCTTTACTGCTTCCTCAATGGGGAGGTAGGTATTCATAAGATACTTCAGAAGAGTCAAAGATTTCTAGTACAGGGAAGAAAAGGTACCTTGGGAGAATGTCTGGAATGGGTTGGTGTGAGGCGGCAGGAGACCTTGGGACAAATCCAGAGGAAAAGGGCCCTGGAGCCTGCCCAGTTTCAGGCCAACTGCCAGCCTGGTTCTAGTCTTTGAGTAGCACATACTTTATAGCTGCCTTGACTTCTTTTGGTTGTCTCTGGTTCTGCCCTTTGGCTCCTACTGAAGATGATATTTAAGACCCTAGGAAGAAGGGAACCATGAGAAGAAGATATCAGATTCCCTTAAATCCCCAGAAGCATTAGAGGGGTTGGTCATGCTGGGTAACCGCTTGCCTCTATGCTGACTGCCCTATTCCAGGATATACCATGGTCTTCTGAAATTTCTTCTCCTCTCCCCATGTACTGATTGTAGAATCAGAAATCAAAGCAGTTTCTCCCATCCCCTCACTGATCCCCTGGAATGGAGAGATGGTTAGGAGGGCATACCAATAATTCACCAATTACTTGTTAAGTTCTTGCTGTGTCCCCCACTCTGCGTTGGGTATCGTATCAAAAACAAAATAATAGAGATAGGAAACAATGCTGTAAATTATGTTACAAAGGTGTTTTCTACTCTGTGTTTAAGGTTCATTTATATGATATTACCATGAAATGACATTAGGACAACTTTATTTGGGCTTTTGCCTATGTAAGATGTGGTCTTTGCTTTCAATGAGCTGGTAATTTAGTTGGACAGAGGAGAGAGAGTGAATAAATCAAAATTTTCTATTTTCCTCTTTAAAGTGGTTAGTTTTTAGAGGTGCAGGTAGGGGTGTGCTAGAGCCAGCTTGAAGGGGCTGGTGAGAGTTGATTGTTAAATTTTCAGTGTTAGCATTTACACCTAAAAACCAGCAAACACTGCAAATTAGTACTTGGTTTTCATGATCGTCTAAACTAAAGAAAGTGACAGAGAAAATGTTAACAATACACATTAAACTTTAAAGTGTGTCATGTGTAAATTTTTTCTCCTGAAAAGCTGGTGGTTCAACATTTACCACCATACCCTTGAGCTTAAGAAGGCTGAATTCTTATTCCAACAGTAAGTTGGTTTAAAATGGTTCAGGAACTCCTTTGGGATGACCTTCAGAGTTCATTTATGAGCCACAAAAGATAGGATCTCCCTACTTCATAGTCCTACTTTGATTTTGAACAAAAACTGCATTCCTTAGCTTACTTTATTCATTAGGCCTTTGTTCTGAACCTTTTCCAAAAAAATTTTGGAAATTTCCAAAAAGTTGAGTTTTTCATAAAGGGGAAAGACGTGTCACCACCATGGAGGAGAGCCAAAAGAATGTCTGTAAGGCAATTCCAAATGAGCAGTATCATTGGAGAAAGTGCACTCCAAAAGTGACTGGTTTGATGGGAGCAACACTTACTTGAGCTGTGGTGAGTTTGTTTAGAGAAAAAAAATTCATCTTAGTTCTAAGACAACATGGGATTAAGTCCTAAATGGCTGACACAGACTAGACATGCCAAAGAAGTACAGAATAGAGAGAGAGATTGCTGTGGGCTAGAATATTTTGGGAAGGTTTCCTGGGGAAGGTGGAATTGGAGCTGGACCATGAAAGAAGAATAGTAATTGATCAACGAACAAGTATTAAACACTGCTATTTGCTAGGTGTTATTCTGGGAATACAAAGACAAAAGAGAAAAAGTCAGACCCTAAAGGAGCTTACATTCTCCTGAGGAGCTGGAGTGAATAACCGAGAAAGAATGGAAGAGGGTTTCAGGCTTGTGGCACAACAGGAGCAAAGGCGGAGAGCTGAGAATGAGTATGAAATATACGTGTGGATCATTTTGGTTAGAAGATGCTCTTCTTGTCTCGGGGCAGGTGCAGCTGGAGATCCAGAGAAAATGGCGGCAGCGGCACTTGAATAACTGGTTCTGGACACGTCCATCCCTGAGTTCCTCCTTCAGCAGTGGAGCCAGTGGCCTCACCCACATGACTAAAACCAGCTCATTGGAGCAGGGCAGAGGAACTGCCTGGAAAGCCAGTGTCATCTGAGAGACCAGGGGCTAGGTGGATGGGAGAGGTATTGGTGGGGGGACTGAGCACATCGACAGGCACTGGACTGCTCTGGAAAGGTGTGAGGGACAGTAGGTGTCAGTAGAGATAGGGCTCTCTGAGAGGTCACCGCACTCTATGGAGTCATTGAGACTTCGGAATACCTTCCATCGTGACAATTTTCATGTTCCCAGCCTGGGTCTACTTCCTTTTGCTTTTTCCTTTCTTTAGAGTGTCAGTTCCTGATCTCACTTGGTTACCTCCCTCCCTCGGTTCTTGGTCGGGCCTTTCTGAGATAGAAGAAAAGGAATCCCCAAAGCAAAGAAATTACTATTGTGTTGAGCACGTGCAGAGGAAGATGGCTGGGATGGAGAAGAGACTTGAAGACATGTTAGAGGAAGAATGATGGAAGGATCTGTATATTTTCAGGAAAATAACTGTTTTCAAATATTTGAAGGGCTGTCTCATGGAAGAGAGAGTATATCTGACCTATGTGTGTGGTTCCATGGGCAAAACTAAAACCAACTGGTGTAAGTTACAAATATACAAATTTTGGCTCAGTGTAAGAACTTTTTGGCAAGGATAGCTGTCCAAGAACAGAATGGGCTGCCTAGTGATAGCAAAATGACCAGTTGTCAGAGATTACAATAGTGGAAATTCATGTACTCAGGATCAAGTTGGACTGAATGACCTCTGAGACTCCCCCCACCCCCCACCAGATTCTGTGATTTTGTCTGGAGGCAAGGGGAGAGTAAGTTCAGTAGGGATAGTTGGGGTGCTATCTCTAGGTCCCAGTTGAGATATCTGGACATTTGGAAAGTGGAAGCTGCTGAAAACCAGCAGCCTGTTACAACGAGGGCTCTATTTAGTGCTTTACAACTGAAGGGGAAGAGAAGGATGTGTTAATAAATCTTGACAGTGGTAGTGATTCATTCTTTATTATAGGAAAAAAGACATTCTGGGGTACTTGGAGGAAGGAATTGAGAATGCCAGGTTTCTTCTTACTCTCTTAGGAATTGGACCATGATGGAAAGGCCCGTTCACCTTTACAGACCTCACCATCTTTCTCCCCCTTTATACACATAGCAGAAGAGTCAGAGAAGCCTTTTGAATCATGCGATTCTTCTCCCTATCCATTCCCAGCCCTTGCAAAATAGTGAAGAGGTGAATTTGGTCTCCAGCCCTCTTCTGTCTCTCCCTCTCCTCATCTTGCACCTTTATCTGGGTCCCATGCTACCCTCTCAAGCCACCTACTGTTACCATGGTCACCCCCCCCATCATTGTAATTTACCTGATTTGTATTCTGTCCCTCACTCTCCCTGGGCTGTCCAAGGTGACAACTAATGTAGTGATGTAATAAAAGACAGGAAGTGAAGTGGAAAGAGAACTGGATATTGACTCAAAGGACATAGGTTCAAATCCTTGCTCTGTTACTTATTATCTGTATGACCTTGGGGAGGTCACTTAACTTCTCTGATACTCAATTTCCTTATATATAAAATGTGGAAATTGGACTGGAATGGTTTCTAAGATTCTTTCCAGCTCTATATCCCATGATCCAAATCTTAACCCACCTCTCTTTCTTTGCCATGTGCTTAAGGAAAAAGATGAGAGGAGAATCCTGTCCTCCCTTTACCCCCAGGTTTATGTGTGTGATTTTTGTGAGACCAGGGGAGAAGAGAGTGTACAGTAGAATAATGTGGGCGATGGGTCAAATATTGTGGAGGACAAAGGCTGGAAAGAGGCCATCAGATTTGATGATTCAGAGATTATTAGTTATAATAAAGAGGTGTTTCACTGTATGTATACACATATAGATATAAAAATATATTCATTTTCATAGGAGGGAGACTACATGCCTACCTTTCTTGTCCAAGCTTAGAGGAGTAACTTTAATGGAGAGGGGAATTTTAGGCTAAGTATAAAAGGAGAATGGTGGGGCAGCTAGGTGGCGTAGTGGATAGAGCACCAGCGCTGAAATCAGGAGGACCTGAGTTCAAATATGAACTCAGACCAAGCACTTAACACTTACTAGCTGTGTGACCCTGGGCAAGTCACTTAACCCCAATTGCCTTCAAAAAAAAAAAAAAAAGGAGAGTGGTTCCAAGACTGGTGAGAGAGATTTGGGAGCAAAAAAGGGCTTATTACTTCTTCAAACACAGAATATGGGTGTAAATGGACACAACTCATGCCTAGAAGCTAAGTTCTGGGTTTGCAGGAATCAGTGTTGTAGTTTGCAAGACTTGATCTTGTGGGGTGGAGGGGGAGGATGCTTCGCACAAATCATTCTTTGGCTCATGCCCCCATTCTGTTTCCCTTGAGAATGTCAGAATTTGGCTCACTGTTGCCACCCTACCCAGGATCTCCCCAGAACATTAGAATATAGCCCAGGTCTTTGTCTTTACTGAAAAAGGTAGAAGTGCCCTCAGTTCTCATATAAGCATTCAGGCTAATGAATCATCAATTACAGGACAAACTTTATTTCACCCAACACAGAAATGAGGGCAAGGAATAGGTTTGCTCCTTCATGTCATGGCTCTGTCCCTTGCTGCTCCTTGACTTTGGGTCCTGTTTGGTTCAGGAACTCTTTATCCTCTTTCCAGGAATACTGATTTAGGAACTTGTTACTCTCCCAATGCCTCTATCTGTTGCCATCTATGGGGGCCATTTGGTTTCCATTCCAGGAACTCCTTTGCAGCTGCCATTTGAATGAGGTTCCCTGAGGGTTTGTGGGAACTGCTCAGATAAGTGGGCTCCCCATCTCCCCAATCTACATCTGAGTTCTCAAACTCAATATTTGTTCTCAAGGGTCTAGAACTCTCATAATTGGAAGGCCTTAGAGATTACATACACTCCTAATACATAATTGTAGAATGTTCTCATAGGTATGATTAGAGGTGGCAAGATAATAGCAATTCAAAAAAACAACAAAACTAAAAATTTCAAAAGAAGGTAAAAAGGAAAAAGGCCAACATTACACACACACACAGAGGCCCAGGAAAAATGCTTGATGTTGCTCAAGTCACCTTCTTCCTCCAGACTTGCAGCCCATAGGCATCCTGGTTGTGACTCCCACAGATATAACCGCTTATCCCAAATTGAAGCTCTAGGTTTACATGGACCAGCCTCAATCTTGGCAGAGATAGGGGTTCCTGCACACATGTACCCCAGGGACCCATGTTCACTTTGTGTTACTCCTCTTTTCTGTGTCTCTCAGCTGTGGACCCCATCCATTTCTCCAGATATGTTTCTATTGCTTATTAGAGTCCACATCCAAGAGTATAGCTCTGACTTACATGAGTCACGGTTCAGTTTTCCTCAGTGTGGTATAAATGGCCCAAGAAGTACCAATGGGCGTGAGTACTCTTTACATCCCATCAAGGAAATAGCGTTAAAGTCCCAAATCTCGTGTCAGTGTTTATGTGTTAGTGTGTTTTAGAGAGAAACATCTTCAACCAAGTCCTCATTCTTCATCCTATCAACCTTGACCAAAGCATTCCTGGTCACCCTGTCTCCATAGGCATCTCATATTAGCCCAGGAGCTCTAACCTGTGTTTCCCTCTTAGAGACTATTTTCTGATGGCATTGTAGCCCATAAAAGAGAAACGAGAACTCTCAGTTAATCTTCCTGTCACCCTACCAAAAGCCCCTACTCAGCAAGATTTTTAGAAATGGGAGGGAAAAGTTCATCTCCCTACAAGGCCCAATGACATAAGAACCAGAATTTGAACACAGGTCCTTTTGACTCAATACAGTACTTTGCTTCAGTATGTATGAATTGTTAGATATTCTGGTCTTTCATGGGGTTTCACAACCTAAACAATACTGCTGACTAATAACATTTTCTAAATTCTCTACTAAGGATAGCTCAGCGCTCCTGGTCTTTTCATGGGATGTCTCTCAAGTTCAAAGTTAGGAATTGAAAGGTGAGGAGAAGCATAGAAGGAAAAGTGCATGCTTTGGGAAAGTAGGACTGTTTGGGAAGGGCACTAATCTGACTGGCAAGTGGGGGCCTGGATTCTAATTTTAGCCGACACAAATTTGCTGTGTGACTTTGGACAAATTGCTTCAACAATCTGGGTTTCAATTTCATTGGTTAAATTGGGAAAGTATCATCTTTCTCTCCCTCCCCAGAGGGGATCAGAAAGCATTTTATTTTAAAAAATAAAAGTACCATAATGAATATAAGGTGAGCTTCATTCTATTTTGGTTTGAGACAACTAGAGTTCCCTGCTGAGACTTCAGATCTTTTCTCTGACTATTGGTACCCTTATGTGGAAAGGGAAAGGGAATTCATTGATGCCAATAGCCCTAGGTCCCTTCCTTAACCCCAGGTGGCCTTATTGGCAGACACACACTCAGAACATGTATGATCTGAATTATTTTATTGAACATTACTTAGTCCTTGAGGGCTGACTCTTCATTTAAAGAACAAACACCACTCCACAAAGAAACCCATTGAGGCTTAACATTGGAAAAGGTGCACACATTTGCCTTTTGCAACTAGGCTACAGATAGAAAATGTCTGAGTACCGATAAGTATGTCTTGCATTTAGAACATAGATAGAAAATGTCCGAGTACAATGTCTAGTCTCTCTTGCTGGAGAGAGGCTAAATAAAGAGGGGGTAAAAGTCCCTCTGCTGATGCAGCTGTGAGTCCCAGTGTCCAGAGAAGACCAAGCTTCAAAGTCTTCTTGAAGCCCTGGGGTCTCTTTCCAGAAAAACAATGAGCTCCCAGGCCACTCAACCTCTGTGCCAGGAATAAGGCCAAGGTTAGCCTAAATGACTGGGTTTTTTTAGGTTTCCCTGGGGCCAAGTCACAGATTTCATCACAAGGAAAGGGGCTTTTGATTTAATGTCAAGAGTTCCTGGAAATTCAGGGACAGTTTGTTTATTCCTATCCTATTCCTTCTTTTCCATCCAACTCCACCCCACGATCCTCAGTCATCAATCCTCAGTTGAAAAACTGCCCTTAGGTCCCTAATTTTTGTAAATCCCTACTCACTTTCTCACAGGTGCCAATCTGGCAAGAGTCTGATATTAGGGGAATGGTATTTAACTATCTGGTTGTAGCTAATTTCAGCTTGTCTCTCTCATAATGCTATAAGGCTATTGACAAACATTTAGTATCCCTTGATCCCTGGAGCCTTCCTCCAGAAAGATTCTGTTTTTATGGTCAGAGGCATGCTATGCTTTAAAATGCAGCAATATATTTATTAAGTGCCTAAAATAGACCAGAGCATGGACACCTTTCCCAGACTGTACCCCATTTCCCCAAGGGTGTTCCAAATAAATGTTAAAATGAATTACTGTCTTGGTAGGTGAAGAACTTAGCCCAGCATAGAGCTGGTCACCACCTCCAAGGGATAGATACACGAAGTGGCCCTTAACAAGAGCAGTGACTAGAATGGAACATCCAGAGAATACAGTAGGTAGAACTCTGGTCAGCTGTGTCAAGCCAGGTCACTGGGTAGAGGCTTGCAAAGGGAGAAAAAAGATGTTTGTGCAAAAGCCTGAGCAGAGGGCAAGAGACTGAGATTAACCAGTACAGACCAGATGGACAGGAGGAGAGGGAAGACCTGAGGGGTAGAGTTACAGAAATGAAAAGAATGTCAACAGATGGGAATGGAAATAATGGACTGAGGGAAACCCTCCACCCCAGACTGGCCTGGGAGGACTTAGAAGGGAGACAATCAAAGCAAAAGAATGCAGATAAATTCCAGCTGGCAAAGATGGTAATCTATACTTCCCTACCTAAGAAGAAATCCTCCTTCTCAGAAACACACACAGAGAAACTTAATGATGGATATTAATCATTATCCAAGGTCTGACACCTAGCAATTGGCAAAGTCCAGCAGGTCAAGGTATGTGTACTGATGAAGACTTCTTGCTTATAAACAAGTTGTGTACTGGGAATGGAAAACATTGAACTAATTTACTCTTCCATTTAAGCTGTTAGTGGTGCCTGCTTAAGCAAGCATGAACACAGCAAAACACACACACACACACACCACAAACGAATGTGTCCCTGATGTTAGAAGTCAGTAAAAGGCAACTCAGTGAGCAGAAAGAACAATGAAACAAACACTGTTGAGCTTGGACCAGAAAAGGAAAATCACCTGGCTAGCAGGTAGAGAGCAGTAACTCTACAACTGAGCTCTTTTCTCCCAGAGGTATCCACATTGCCAGAGGCCCCACAGAGCCCGACTATGCAGTGACTGAAGGATCCCACCCCCAAATTCAGGGATCCAATTAAATCAGATCACATAAAGTTTTTATTGAGCTCCTAATTCGTTCAAGGGATTCTAAAAACATCTTGAGCTCCAGATCAGCCACATACCTCAGAAGACTGTCACGTGGGTGATCCTCCCAATAGAGATCACATGGTTATTCTACTATTGGGGCAGATGAACCACAAAGATATAAAAATTCTTCAATAAAAAATCTAAGAAATTTCTAAGGAATATTATGAAATGTATAAGAAATGAAATTCCCTCAATTTCTTTCTCCTTTCAGCAACAAAATGGTTGCTTAACCTTAGAAAATTTGCTCCAGTTTGAATGGAAGTGGTGATTCTCAGGGAATTATTTATCTTTTTAAAGAGTGGAATCTTATCTTATAAATGGGAGTGGGTCAGAGTGAGCAAGAATACTGAAAATTTAAGCCAAGTACTTTTACTTTCATTTTCCTGGGCATTTCAGGACAAAACTTGGTTTTCGATCTGAATAATAGGGAAGAAAAAAAGGGAGAGAGATAGGAAAGGAGATGGAGATGGATAAGGAGGAGATAAGAGTAGGGAAAAGGAGAAGATTGGGTGTAGTTGCAACCAAATCAGATTAAGCAGCAGTCCTTAGAAACTCTTCAGATATATGCGTTGTCCTCTTTTAATGGAACGCAGCCAACTGCAGGAGATACTCCTGGAGGAAGCTTTGTGAGGTCAGAGATGGATCCTTGAAGAGCTGGGCCAAGGAGGGAGGAGTTCCTCAAGAATAATCTAAGCTTAAGTTATTATTTTTTTTTTTAGCAACTCAGTTAAGTGTGTATTTCCTGTTAGGAACCCTGCATGGATTCAACACTATTCAAATGCTGTTGAGGATAGAGAGAGAAAACTACCTTAAAATTCTTTAATTTGAAAAAAATACATTTGATAAAGGAATCAGTTGTCTTGGGCTCCCCACCTCTTGAGTCTAGACGGACTCACCTCCCTTCATTGTACTCTGCCACTGAGCTGTCACCTGGGGTTCCCTTGACTGCATACCCCACGGGTCATGGCCAATAGGCAACCTTTCAAAGGGCATCTTTCTACCCAAGAAACAAAGCTTTGGAATACTGTCAGCAGCTCCTTATTTGACCGCTGGAAGATCCCTCCCCTAAAGTGTTCCCACAGCCCCAGCCTATTTGACTTAAATATCACTTCTCCTCTGCAAAATTACTGGCATCTGAACCTTGACTCTTTTTTCTTAAGACCTCCAGATGAATGAGAACAAGGTGTTTTGTTTTTTAAAATAATAAAAAACTCCACAAAGAAGCGGTACATGACTTTAAAGAAATCAGTTGCTTTAGAGTGTGTTTCACCCAGGCATTAAGTAGAAGCTCATTCTCAGGAAGGACTGAGATCTCTCATTTTCTAAAAATTCTTTGGTCCATTCCACTGGTGTGTGATGTTATTGATGTGAAGGCCACTGATTCCATTTAGGAAGAAGAGGAAGGAAGAGGTGAACTCACACCAGAACATCAAGGTGAAACCTGTGAAGGTGACCTGGTCCCTGAAGAGGATCACAAAACTGAAGAGCCCCATAGAAGACAAGACAAAAGAGATCAGGATGAGGATGGAGCCCACGGCCCATTTCCGCCGAGAGTGGTCATCTTCACACACCTGGGAGACCATCAGGAGCTCCAGGCCAAAGATGGCCACCACCACAGCCAGAGCCCCCATACTTCGGGCCAGGACCATACCCACTGCCAGTCCATCCACCTGGGCAAGGCGCAAGTCTGTGAAGCAATTCAGCTCACTATTATTAGTGAAAACGCAGAAGTGCCACAGGCCAAAGAGCTGATCCTTCACCAGGAGCCAGTGGCCATCACATATAGAGATGGAAGATAGAACCACAGCAATGGCAGCACACAGAATGATTAGGGTTCGGATCCATGATTCGAAAAAGGACTTGGTTGGCCTCTTCGGAACCAGTAGCTTCTGAGCCTGGAAGAAAGCATGCCACATGAAATTAGAGATTCTATAGTCTAGCATCAGTGTCCATTTTGAGTTTTATCAAATGAGTTAACACAGGTAAAGTGCCCTGAAAATCTTTTTTTTGGTAATTTTTGTAATTTAAAAATTTTTTAAAAAAATTTCCCTGAAAATCTTAAAGCACTATGCTAGCTATTGTTGTTGTTGTTGCTATTATCACCCACAGGTTTGTATATAAAGGATCCTTTCTACTCTAGCTACTTTGTCTCCCAAACCTGCCCTGTGCTTCTGTAGCTCCAGATCTTTGCTCCTGCCATCCTTTCTCCCAAGAATGTCTCTTTTTTTCCCCTCTAGGGCAAAATTCTTGTCTAATGAGGTCTGATAGAAAGAGAGCTGGATGGAGAATCAGACCCTAATCTATTCCCAGCACCACTAACATATTAGGTCACCATGGGCAAGTCATTCATAGGACAGTAGGATTTATAGTGCAGTGTTGGAAAAGATTGTAATCATCACTTAGCCCAATCCCCTTGTTTTACAGCTGAGAAAATCTGAGATCTAGAGAGAACAAGTGATGTGCCCAACATCATAGGCAGTCAGAAGTAGAAGTAGGCGGTGTTTGGACTTGGATCTTCTGACTTTACATCTGTATAAGACTACATCTTCTGGGCCTGAGTTTCAATGTAAAATAGTTCCTCAAGAGCAGAAGGTTTAAAAAACCCAAAAACCCAGCATTGTTGGCTTCTTGATAAAACCTGATTAAGAGGAACTGGCAGCAAAGATGACTGCCTGGAAAAAATGGTGTTAACTGTAAACCTGGTGGGACGGGTGGGCAGATTAGGCTGCCCAGTATACAGGGATCACTCCTACCCTCCCTTCCCACTTATTCACTCTCAGAGTTTCATTTAAATAAATGTTTTTGCTTTCAAAGCACAAGTATACCTATGATTGCACTTTAAAATCATTCTAATTTTGTGAAGTAGGCAGGGTAGGTATCATTATAGCCAGCATCATCAGGAGAAACTGAATCATAGAGGGACTGTCATGTGCCTGAAACCCAAGTTTTGAAAAACTAAAAGCATTTTTTTTTGCAACCCAAGAAAAAGCACTCAACATGAAATTATTGTCATCATGTGAATGCAGTTAATGATCTCTAAGATCTCTTTCAGCTCTAGATACTAAAAATCTTCTATTAGATTGTAAGCTCCATGAAGGCAGGGGCTGTCTTTTGTCTCTATTTGTATACCCAGCACTTAGCACAGTGCCTGTTATGTAGTACGTGCTTAACAAATGTTTATTAATTGATTCCCAATCCATTGCAGCCATGAACAGAGAAACCTTTCACCCTTAAAGATAGCTCCATCAGCAAAACAGATACACACTGCTCCACCTGTTCTAGGTACAGAAAGGACTTTAGTCTTCAGGGCTACCCAGTATCAGAAAGAGATATTCAGTGGTGGAAGTGTTCTGTTTGTTTTTAAAGAATCATTGAATTCTCAGTTAGCAGGGAAATTAAAAGATTAATGATCTATCTTATCCCCTTGCCTCTGAGCTAGGCTACATCAAATCTCTTCACCCATACCCACTCAAAAAGTATCCTTAAATTTCTAAACTCTCTCACATACTCACTCTCTCTTGTCTCTCTCCCCTCCTGAAGCTGTTTGAAATTTTCCCAAGGTCCCTTATGACTTTAGTATTCTGTGGTTCTACTACAATAGCTAAAACGAGGAGGGGGGAATTACTTCTACCCATCAATGGCTTTTCTCTGAGCTCTCGACCCTAGTAATGGTAACTTGGTCGACTGCTAGAACTTGCCAACATCCGCTTTTCTTTTAGAGGTAACAGTTACATGGCAGCAAGGAAAGAACCTGTATGTTCTCTTAATAAATATAATGGCAAAGCTAATCCCATGATCTTTGAGAAACATATTTTTTTTGGAACTACAATTACAGGCTGCAAGACAGAAGGAAAACTGCTCACAGAGCATGATCATTTCCCCATGGCCCTAACCCTAAACTACTCAGTTATTCCAATCCCCATTGCAGGCACTAGATCTTTTCTTAAAGGGTTTGATTTGACAGGAGTATTAGGTTAGAAAATCGTTTTACAAATCAGATTATTCATATCTCCCGAAGATTCGAATACTTTACAATTTTCAAAATACTTGCATTATCTTATTTGCTCCATAGACATACTATGAAATAGGCAGGGCAGGTAATAATTGTTCTAATTTTACAGATGAAGAAATTAAGATATAGGAAGCTAAGAAGGTCTAGAAACTAAGGTCCTAGGCGTATGAAAAGTTGAAAGTCACTCATCTAGTTAAGTAGTGAACTAGAATCCAGGGTTTTTTTGTCTCTCAGAGAAGGCAGCATCTGGCTTTGCCACTTTGGAGAGGTAGATAAGATTGGAATTGGGGAGGTAGGGATACCTGGACGTAACAACAGGGAAGGGAAACTTACTGTCTCCAAGTTTAGGGCCCTTACGAACAATTCCTGATTCATTCTTATTTTACCAATGGATCCCTCTACATTGGAGCCTAGAGTACTTTTACAAATTCCTTTCCTGAACCAATTGACCAAAGTGGGAAAGGCAAATATGTTTGACTGTGGGAAGGGAAAGTGGAAGGGGTTAAGAAAGGCAAGATTGAAAAAAATAAAACACCAAACTTTGTACTGGAAGCCCCTAGCAATTAGATTATATTCTGAAATGAAGAGAAATTCTGAAAACATCTGGAAAAGTGCAAGCAAACAGCAGCAGAATTTTTTTTTAAGTCAATTGGCAAAAATTTTTCAGGGAATAGTACCACAGCTGTCGCATTGTAGGGAAGCGTCAAGTCATCCTCGGAGTATTTGTACGAAATTTGACGCAGGTTTTCCAACTGGATCTCCCTTTGGCTTTATTCTATTTTACACTTCCTTTTTCTGGGGAAACCCTCTCAATGGCTAGGGCTACCCCTAGAGCCAGGAGCCAGAGTTCCGATGGAATCTGGGCGGGAAGGGCAGACAGAGAACAGAAGAGACAAGTATCCATCTCCCGAACCTGCAACTCCGAGCTTTTTTTGCACCCCTCCAGCCCCCATGATGCACTAGAACAGAAATTAACTCAGAATCGGAACCAAAGACTGACACCAGGGCGTTAGATAGCTCAAGCCGGGACAGTCCCGGGCTGTCTCCTGCTACAGCAAGAGGAGAAAGTCACCTCCAGGCCAACTTGGGGACCGGGATAAGCCAAATTCGTCTGCAACAAGGTGGCGGTGGGGAAAGAGAGGACGCCTCCCTGCCCAGCCTCCGGCAATACGGAGAGTACGGGAGACGCATGCCGGAGCTCGGATGGGCGCGGAGACCCCCAGCTCCTCAGTAGGAGACATCCATGCCCCAGGGCAAAGTTTCTCGCGGTATCTCCCTCCTCGGGGTCCCTTCCAGTATACCTGAATCGCTATGGCCGTCATGCCGCCAGCAGTACAGAGAACTCAGCTGATGGACGAAGCAGCCTCGACTCCTCCGCACTGGCCAAAGTGCCTCCAGCAGCTGGCTGGCTAGTTGCAACTGCACGTCGGATGAGAAGGGGGCGGAGCCAAGTCTCGGGAGCCAAGGGGCAAGGGGGAGGGGAGGGTGGTTAAAAACAGAGCAATTAACCCCAGGCCACCCCACCCCAGGCTACTTTAGGCTGCTCCCCTTGCGCTGAGTCAGCTAGTGCGGTCGGGAGGAGTCTCGAGGGATGTTGAGGGAGGGCGCACTAAGGCCCAAGAGTTTTGGGGAAGTGTATCCGCGGGCGAAGAATGGGGGAGTTGGAGTTGCGAAGGGGACCGCTAGGGAGCCAGGGGAGAAGGCTCTGGGGAGAGTGAGCCTGGCTCTCGCGGCTAATGTTTGGTGTCACGTACTTGCTAATGTCCTTGAACTAGCTCTCGGGTTTCACTTGTGGTCTGATCTCTCTAACTGGAGTGTAAATTCCTCGAGGGCAGGCAGGCTGGTAGCAGAAAAAGCTACTGAGACCAGAAACTCAACCAGTGACCTTGGGCAAGTAACTTAACTTCTCCCTGCTTCAGTTTTCCCTTTTTTGAAAGGGGGTGTGTGGTTGGAGGTGGGATGGGTGGAGAGCGGGGAAAAAAAAACAACCTTTTCTCTACTTCACGAGTTTGTAGTGGGATAAAATAGAGTAGATATGAGAGTGCTTTTTTCAAAGGTCAGTCCCATTCAACCTATTTGAGCAGTTACTGTGCAGTAGGTGCTGGGATACAAAGATAGAATACCATCTCTGCTATCCAGAGTCTAATTCTAGAATACAAGGACACAAATAACTATTTTAGAAGGGAAGGAGGAAAGAGCAAATGAGGTGTCAACACAAAGTACTAAGAAGAATTTGAGATGAGAGGTGATTTTCATCTTTGCCTGGAGGGCAGGGGTCAGAGGTAGCATGTGAGTTAGGCCTTGGGTAGATGGAGACGCATTAACAGATATAGGGGGGTGGAGTAGGGAGATCATTCCAAGCATGAAAGATTTTGTGAGCAAAGATAAAAAAGAGACCGGAGAGTGGAGGACAAAAAGGAAGGACAGAGGGTAGTCCTGAATGGCTCCAAAGGAGAAACGTAAAGAGAAGTGGTGTTAACATGAGGTTAAACATCTTCGGGGCCCTGGGATTCAACTATGGAAACTTGGGGCCATGGGGATTGCCCTGGGGCTTTTAATGTAAAAGTGACCAGATCAGAGTGGTGCATTAAGATTACTCCAGCCTGAGCATCCAATAGGGGATAGAGTAGAGACAGCCAGACTGATTAGGGATCTGAATAGGGTGCTTGCAGTTCGAATGCAGAAGAGGTGCACGTTGCTTAGAGATATGGCAGAGGTAGAAAGGATTTTATTATATTTGAGTCAGGTATCTGGGAAAACCATTGAAGATTCCAAGCAGGTTTTGAGACTGGGTGGGAAGATAGGTGAGCTCTTGGCTAAGAGCTAACCATGCCTGGACATCGCCTCTCAGCTTTTTCTTCTAGCCTTCTTTCTATCCCTCCTTAATGGGTTGTCATTGAGTAGTTGGACTCCTTGCGACCCCATCTGGGGTTTTCTTGGCAAAGATACTGGAGTTGATGGGATTATGGGACCTGGACTCCTAAAAGGAAAAGACCAAGTCTCTAGAAACAACTCAGATCCTGAATTTTCCCATACATTCCAGAAGCCCAGATCACTGGCCCACTCCAGACTGTTTGCATACCCACCTAGATTGTCTAATTAGCCTACTTGATATTCCTTTCACTGTTGCACCTGGCCCACTCCAGACTACTTACCACTCCTTAATCCCATCCAGATCCTATCACTGTCCCTTTTGTATATAAGCATCAGTCTCATTCCCATTAAGTTGCAGGTTCTCTAAGAACTCTGCCCTCTTCCATGGGGACATTACAATAAAATTTGCTCCGTGACCTGAAGAAGGCTTGACTGAATTCATTCTAGGCATACACCGCCCTGTACCCTGACATTTCAGGATCCCAGTAATCCCAAACCTCGTCATTGTGGTTTGCCATTTCCTTCTCCAGTCCATTTTACAGATGAGGAAACAGAGGCAGAGTTAAGTGACTTGCCCAGGGTCACATAGCTAGGAAGTGTCTGAGACCATGATTTGGATTTATGAAGATGAGTCTTCCTGATTTCAAGCCCAGAGCTCTATCCACTTTGTAATTTAGCTGCCCCCTCAACGGGTTATCTTCCCCCATTGGATTGTAAACTCCTTGAGGGCAGAGTCTTTCTTGCTGGTATTTGCATTCCAGCAATTAGCACAATGCAATGAATAAATTCTGTGACTTTGTGTCTCTGTCTCTGTCTCTCTCTTTCTCTTTGTGTGTGTTTGTGTGAGTCTCTCTGAGTGTCGATGGGGTGTGTGTCCCACATTCTTCCTTCCCCCTCACCTCCACTGTTGAATGGGATGTGGATGCCACCATTCTCCATGCCCTCTTTATCTCAGGAAATTTAATCAATTGTACCAGGGTATAGCACTTAGATCATACTTTAGCCTAGCGGCAATCTAATAGCCCCTCAGGTCCACCTGATGTCGTTCTCTACTGCTTTATGGAGTTTATATTAAATGAAAAAGTTAGGCCTACAATCGCATACATACACAAGAGCCTCCAGTTAGAGGAAAATTCCCAACATTTAGGCAGAGGCTTGGCTCTCTGCCTTAATTTAATTTATGTTTATCTCCAGCTAATCCCTAGTCTCTTTATGATTCAAGCAAAATTCAGGTTACCAGTCTGGGTAGAGAAGTGAACCGAGTGTGTTGCTTGTTGATTTGTTTGTATGGGGAGGGGAAATTGGGGAAAGCACAGACCTTTTCTTAGAACCTCCCTCTGTCCTTGAATAGTGGGTTCAAGGACAGCTTCAGCCCGAATCTTCGGCCTGTGACACCTGTAAGGCTGGTGGCCCTCTTAGGTCTCTCCCTTCTTTGCCCAAACTTAGCCGCCACTTCCCTCCCTCCCTCCCGTTTTCTCTTTCCTCTGCTGCCCCTTGGCTACTGATTATTTCCACTGAGTTCTTGAAGTCTTCTACTCATTCCTATGTGTGTCTCTATTGTCTCTGTCTCTCACTGAAAAAAACAAAACAAAACAAAACAAAAACCACCAAAAACTCCATCCTATAGTCCCTACTTCCCTAGCTTTTTTTGGGAGCTAGGAAGAAATTCCACCCCCAGGGCCTTTGGTGACTTAGGTCCCCCAAAAGGGTGTCCAATCTAACCAGAATGACTTTTACATATCTGTCTTATCTATCTTTTCTGGGCCATTGTGCTTCTCTGGGACCCCAGAGGACCCTGGAGGAGGGGTGACAAGACCCACTCTGGATTATTCTGGGGGTATTGTTAGCCAGCCTTCTTGGTTCCCCACACTCACTTCTTGGTGAAATAAAAACATTTCCATTCTGTGCCTATATTACTGCTGGATAGAATGAAGCCATTGATAGAAAGGAAGACTGGGGGCTTTTCCTGTGGGTGTCATTAACCCTGGTGGTATGGTAGAATGGTATGTTATGGATCTGGATTAAATTCTGGTTCTGATACCAATTCTGTGTCTCTAAGCCAGCCATTTCATTCAGGCCTCTCCCCACAAAAGGGGACAATAACTCTCCTGGCTGCTTACCTCCCAGGGTTCTTGTGAGGGAAGTGCCTGGTAAACCTTAAAGCTGCATATATTAGCTGCTACCCTGGGGAACACAATGTGTACTTGTGTAGGTCATGGTTTGTGAATCTTAGGAAAAGTGTTAAGCAATCTGAATAGGAGGTTCCTTTATTCAATAAGCATTTCTCAAATACCTATTATGTGGTAGGCATATGCTAGGTATAGGCACTGGGATTTCAAAGATGAAGAAACAGTCCATGTCCTCATGGGGCTTACATCTTATAGAGCTGAGCATTCCTTATTCTCTAAACCCCAGTGTTGGGGCCAGAGTGAAAGTGGTAGTGGAGGAGAAATCATTTCTTCAGAGAGCTTCCATTCTGCTGGAGGACACCATCACTCTCCTTGGGGAGCTCTCACTCTGATGGAGGAGGCATTTTCAAATCAATTCATCATTTATTATAGAATCGACAAAGTACCAACAAGTATTTATGGGGTGCCTGTTATGATGACTGTATTAGGCCCTATGAGGACTATAGAAAAAGCATGGCAGCCCCAGCCCCATAGGGATTTATAATATAAGAGGGCCTTGCCCTGGAATGGGTTATAGTTTTATGGGGGAAATAGTCTCAGGCAGCTCAGGATAAATGGAACATGAAACACACGTAGACACCAGAGACCCGTTGTAGTAAGCCACATACTGGAGGTATGGGAGAGATATCAAGGGAATTTACAGATTGCTGGTAAGGGCTGTTCTCAACCACCTTGGTGCCTGGGTGAATAACTCAGCTAACTAGTATCTTGTACTACTGACCTCCTCACTATTTTACCTTACTTAAGTCTTTTGAGTAGAAGTGATGGGGTTGGAATCTGGGCCCCAGAAAGGAAAAACCCTGGACTTTTCCACGTGGCCAAATCTCTGGCATTCCCCTGAGACTATAATCCCATCAACTGGTCTTTCATTGTGGCTACATCCAATCTCCCCTCCATTGTCGTGCCTCCCTATGGCTCCTGGCCATTTCCCACCCTTGGTCCCACCTAGGCTTCATTTCCCACCCTTGGGAATTCTATTACCTCAAGGCATTGTGGCTACACCCAATCTTCCCTCCATTGTCTTACCTCCCTATGGCCCCCAGCCATTTCCCACCCTTAATCCTAGCTAGGCTCCATTCTCCCTTGGCCAAGAGGTACAGGTCCCAGGAGTTCTGTTCACCCTAGCTTACTAGCCACTCCCATCCAGATCTCCTTAGGCCCTTCCTCCTGTTACTCTAAACTACTTGGCCACTCCTAGATCCCTCCCATAGTATATAAGGTCCACCTTGTCTCCATTAAGAGGCGCAGATTTTTACAATCTAGCCAATAGCCCACAGATGCTCAGATTCCTTAAGAGTCTGGCTAATATGGCAAATCTTCAATAAACCTTGTTTTTGGCTGAAAGAAGGCTTGGGTCGAATTCTTTCGGGCAGAACCCAGGTATGGTGGTTTTGGGATTCCAGGACCCCTAAC